AGTGCTTGAAGAAAATTTCACCAGAAGTTTAAGGAGAATTTACTTTTAATTGGTGGGATCAGGGTTGATTTCATATATCTGAACTGGAACTTGAAAGAAGAGAAGGATTTCTAAAAGCAAAGCTGTGAAAGGAGGCTATTTTTGGCAAGGAGTTGACTTATGGTAGAATGAATTCAGTGGCATGTTGGAAATGTATGTTATAGAGTCATCTTATAGAGAGCACTGAAAGCCATACTAAGGACTCTGCATTTTATTAAATAGCCAGTGAGTAGCTGCTAATAGTTTTTGAGCAATGGAGTGACAAGATCAGACTTCTGCACTAGAAGGATTATTTGACAGCTATATGAAAGGTATTATTGGAAGGTCAAATGGGACTGGAGGAGGAGAGCCCTTCTTGGGGGGGGCATTCCAATAAGCTAGGAGACTGGTAATAAAGGACTGAACAAGTGTAGTAGCAGCAGCAAAAGAGTGAAGGGAATGCAAGAAATATTGTGGAACTAGAATTGGTAGGACTTGGCAACTAATTGAATGTGAAGGATGGAGGCTGGTCTTGTTATCAAGAGAAATAGTGAAGTATTAAGGGGTGTGGGTATGGGAAGTGATGAATTCCAGTTTGTTTTGAGTCTGAGATATTGGTGAGATATGTATAGGTGAGGATCTTCAGGAGTTCGTTTAAAATTTGAGATGGGTAATCAGAGAAAGGGTTGAGTCCAAAGACAAGAGAACTTGAGTCATTTGTATAACAGGACTCAAGGAAGTCAACAAAAGGTCGTCTACAACAGATCCAATTCTAGAACTCCTTGGCCCATAGGAAACCACTCTTCGATTTGACCTTTTCACAGGGCATCACACAAGTAGAACAGCCCATGCAAGGGCATGGAGTTTGTAGTGTGGTATGTGGGGAACAGCGTCAGTGCAGCTGGAATGTAGAGTAAATAGAGAGCTGTAAATTTTAAGAAGCCTGGAAAGAAAGGAAAGAGCTAGGCTGTGAGGAGCTTTAAATGCCAAATTGAGGGCCTTCTACTTGATCTTGGAAGTAATAGGGACTCACTGGAATTAATTAAGAAAGGAGTTTCTATGTCAGATCTACTCTTAAAGAAAATCACTTGTACAGCAGAGTAGAGGTTGGATTGGCTAGAGGAGACTTGAGGAAGGGAAAATAGTTAGAATGCTGTTTCAATAATCTAGGCAAGAGGGGGTGAGGGCCTATATTAGGGTAGTGGCTATGTGAGTAGAAAGAAAGGGACTTATATGTGATGTCATTAAGGTAGAAATGACTAGATTTGACAAAATACTAGATATGTAAAATGAGTGAGAGTGAGGAGTCAGAAGAATGACAGTCAGGTTGGTATTATGCTTTATAGTAATAAGAAAGTTTGGTGGAGAGAAATATCTGGGAGAAAAGATAATGAGTTCTAGGTTGGATGTATTCAATTTTATATGCCTATGGGACAAACAGTTTGAGATGTCCAGAAGGTAGCTAGTTATATGGGACTGGCACTCAGGAGAAATACTAGGGCTGGGCATATAGATCTGGGAATCATTTGCTTAGGTATGATAAATGAACCTATAGGAGCTGATGGCTTCTGAGGACCAAATGAAGCATCATACAGCAGCAAAAGAGTGAGGGAAATGCAAGAAATATTGCGGAAATAGAATTGGTAGGACTTGGCAACTAATTGGAGGCAAAAGAAAAGAGAGCCTAGGAAAAAGCCCAGAAGGATATCCAAGATTACAGGCATGATGAAAATCTAGCAAAGGAGATGGAGGAGTGGCCATACAATTAGGAGAACTAGGAGTGAATAATGTCATGAAAATACGTAGAGGAATAAGTATCTGTAGGAGATAGTGATCAACAGTATCAAAGGCTTCAGTAAAAATAAAAATTGAGAAAAAGACACTAACTGTCTTCATGTATCTTTAGAGCTTTTGTATAGAAGAAATTAGACCTGACCTCAGAGGCCAAAGCTAGAAGTTTCAGGGAGGCAGATTTTGAGTGTACATATGGAAGAACTTTCAAGCAAATGTAATGAGCTTCCTAGCATTTGAGTAGAGGCATTAGTTAATTTCTCCACTATTAGGTGTTTTCAATCACAGGTCAGATATATGGATGTTGTAAGTTGGCTTCATGGTTTGGGTTGTTTCAGGTATGTCCAACTCTTTATGACCCCGTTTGGGGTTTTCTTGGCAAAGATACTGGAGTGGTTTGCCATTTCCTTCTGTAGCTCATTTTGCAGATGATGAACTGAGGGAAACAGGATTAAGTGACTTGCCCAGGGTCACACAGCTAATAAGTGGCTGAGGCCAGATTTGAACTCAGGAAGATGAATCTTCCTGACTTCAGGCCCGACATTCTATCTACTGCTGCCCCTGGTTTAGGTTAGACCAGATGATATCCAGGATTCTTTCAAATTCCAAGTTTCTAATTCATAATTTCTATCCTGGGACATTTTATAAGATTTATGATTCATATAATTATATATGATTCATATAATTCATATGATTCATGTAATTATTCATAAGGACACAGCTGACCTTATGAATAAGCTATATCGACAGCTTCTTATGTGGTTTAATTTTAAGAGCATAGAGAAGGTCACATTCTCCTCAGAATAGTTCACCTCTCTGTTGTTATCTGTAGAGATTCATTCTTATGATTCATGTTTGTGTCTTCTAAGATAAGATTTTCTTAGAAAAGGTATCACATTAACTGTTGTCACTCAATTAGATCTTAGTGAAATAAGATCTGGAAGGGATCTTAGGGATCATTGGGTCCATTTTATAGATGACGAAAATAAAATCCAGAGAAGAGATGTGACTTGCTCAAGGTGAAACAGATGGTAAATAGCCTAATGTGAACTTTAAGTCTCCTTTGTGCCCATTAACAAATTCTTTTTTGAGAACTGCTTTTAATAATGTTGAAATGATGAGGTCAGTAGTTATCAGAGGAGAGAGATAGGGATATGGAAAAAAAATGAACAGAAGGGGAGGAATATTTAAATTAGGTACTTCATTGTTTTACTTAACACTTGCCCTGATTAAAATTACATTCCCATCACATGTTGCAAAAGTAATTGGTATTTAGTTATTAACTTGTATTTGAAATAGTATTTGTCTTAGGTGTGGGGCCAATGTGAGTGTATTGAACAACATTTTGTAGTTTAGCTAACAAATCAATATTTTGTATTTTCACTAACTATGCCCTGTGGTCCCAGAATTCTGTTCATTCCTGTGAACTTTTAGTTCACCTCTTGAGGCTGCTTTCTTTGATTGGGATGAGTTGTCAATTTGATACATGTCCAATTGAAATATTCCCAGCATGGATTCTTTCCTGTAAGGTCCCAGCTTTTGGATATGAACATTATAAGAGAATGCAGGACCTGGGTATTCAAAAAGGGTATAGTGTGTGACATAAACAAATTGAACATACTATCCAGTTACTGAAAATGATGGACTGAGGCAGGATTTTATAAATAACACAAACACATGGTTCAGATATTTAACTGCTCCCTAAGAGCCTTGTCATGGAAGTATTAGTAGTCACACACACAGTCTTCATTATTGCTGCTATCAAAGAGTGCTGACTGCATATTAATCAAGAGGTTATTTGCAACTATCTTAATAATATCTTGATATATATAAATATATATGCATGTAAACATGTATATTTGTATACACATATAAACACACATATATATAAACATATATGATAGTTTCTAGGATATGTAAAATAAAATGAAAAATGATTTATTGTAATATATAGTTTCCAGGATATATATTTCTATCCATCCATCCATCTACATACATATATCCACATACATATGTGTATATATATACATACATACATATATGTAATTTCTAGGATACACATATCCTGGCAACTAATTTAGAATATAAGCAGAGGAAATAATGGATAGCTTATATAAGGAGAAGGTTTTTCACTGAAATCTGATTTTTAAAAAATGAGAAATTGAAATTAAGTCAGATTTAAAAATTTAAAAATTGGTAGAATGATGATTTGTCTTTATTTTTAACTTTGTTCTTTATGTCATATTAATAACAATACTTTCTCACATTTGAATAGTGTGCTTGCAGTTTATAAAGATATTTTCATATTTTTTTTTATATCATTGACCTTCACAGCAACACTCTGAGGTAGGCAGGGCAGGTAGTATTATCCCAGTTTTATAAAAATGAGGGAACTGAGACAGTCAGCATGATAACTGATATTTACAAGGTTTTTAAAGATTTCAAAGCACTTCACAGACATTATCTCACTTGAATATCACAAAACCCTGTGAGCTAGACACAACAGATATTATCATTCCCATTTTATAGATAATGAAACAAAGTTTTTGAGAAGTCTTGATGACCACATGTGTTAGAGGTGAGAAGTGAAGACAAGTCTGACTTTTTAAAATTGAAGTCATAGAATTTATGAAAAACATATGATTTTAAGGTGGGTAGAATCATTTTTAGGAAAGTAGAAAGATTCATGAGAAAAAAAATCCATTTGGACGCCATAAAATATTGATCTCTTAAATTTTCTGTGCCACCCCTCGAAATTCAATATTGGAGATGAGCTCTGCTAAGACAGTGAGAGGATAATTTTGTGCTTATAAAATTTAATCAATGGGAGCCCTGACATATGGACATTTTTGAACATCTCTGCCAATCTCTATACCACTTAGACAGTGGTATATCTATAGCAGCTTAATGGATTGTGTAACCTCCTTTGATAATGTTCTGGATTTTGTTGAGATTTCATAATAATAATAATAATAATATATAATAATAATGATAATAATCTACATGAGCTTAATCTAGATGTGAGCTATATTGTCTATATCAATACAATAGGTACATTTCTTCCATGAAGACTTTTTTTCTTCAACGTATAGCCATATTACATGAGGGATACAATTCTGTTGAAGTTTAATAAAACCACACTTTCAGGAGAAAAAACAACAAAGTTTACTATTCTGGTATTCTGTTCATACCTCAAATCCCTGTGGTCTTCCTAGACTCTCTTTAATATGTTTCCATGCAACAAGAATCTCTGATACAGACAAACTTGTAGCCTTGACATCTGTAGGAGCAGCACTGGGTTCTGTATTAAGAAAAATGGAAATAATAAACCTCCATTGGAACAAGTCATCTCTTTCACAGTACTGCAAGAGAACCTGTCATAGACATCCTACGTTTTACTGTACTGCTTGAAATAAAGCACCATACTTATTACAAAAACAAAACAAAACAAAACAGCCCAACAACCGTGGGATTAAAAGAATGATCTTTCCTGGATTGCTACATATGTGTCATGTTTCATCAACAGCTTCTTTTTGGCAAGTTTAGGAAGGCAAATGAGTCTCATTTCCTTGGATTGGCTGATAAATTACTCATTGGATGAAGCAAACTAATTGTTGAACTCATCTGTATCAGGGAAAGTATATTTTTGCCAGAAGACTTCTCTGGTTGCAGGGAATAGGATTCTCCCTGTGGTACACAGATAGTTCATTATGTGGTACCTGAAAATCACCAGGAGAGAGGTATTGTTTTCAGAGCACCAAAATGGTGCCATGCTTTTATATTTGTTTGTTTATTTTTTACTAGAGAAGTAGGTATGAACATCAATAGGAAGATTTTGAAAGCTCTAATCAATTAATTATTTCAACAACTTTGCGAAGTAAGGAGCATGGAAAATTCTCTTTATTTACAGGTAGAGAACCCAAGACTTAGGTTGTGTCTTTATGAACTTAAATCTTTTAATGGAACTCACTAGTCAAATAACTGGTCAGGTCAGTTACATAACCAATTTGAATGATCCTTTGAATTGAGAGGACCATTTCTTTGAAGTTTGCCTTTTTAATTGTTCTAAAATTCCTTGATTTACATAAAATTGTAATATAGGGATCTGGATAGATATTAAACACAAACTAGGCATTAATAAAGGTAAGGAATCATAAAGTTATAGACTTAGAGCGGGAAGGAACCTTAGAGGTCATCTGAGCCAACTCTATCACATTAGCAAACCCACTACAGCTCATTGGGGGGGGTGACTTGGCAAAAGTCACAGCAGTAGCAAGGAAAAGATCCGGGCTTCAAATCCAGGACCTCTGAATTCAAATCAGCACAAACATCCAATATGTAATAAAATGATTCACAATAATCTTTCATTAAATAGAAAAAATTCTCTAGTATTTAACTGATCTTTTTTGTAAAATTACTTATTTTATAAAAAAAAAAGCAATGGGCAATCCACAACCTTTTTTCAGAAATGTATCTATGCTGTGAAATACCATCTCCCTCTTCAAGTTGTACATGTCAGCACAGTCATCCAGAGGATGCTAAGCCTCATCACAGAGAATCACAGTGCTCGCTCATTGAAGGAACTTAAATGTTTGTGGAATTGAACTGAATTGAATTGAATTAGATCAGGCAGTGATTCAACTGCTTGAAAGCAAACAATTCAGTTTGATTGCTTTCTCTACACAATAGGAGGTGGGAGGGAAGTTCGACTTGATCCATTAATTAGCTGGCTACTTTTGGCATAGTATAACACATAATGTTAGTAGAAGGGCCCACATTTAAATTAATTGTTGTTGTTTTTCAACGTCTTACCCAGTAAAATATTTCTTCTCTATCAGATCCAAAGAAATATGTCATGGATCATAGTATTTTAAAGCTTTGCACTGACTTTTAAGACATGTCTGTGGTGAACAGGAAATAATCACAAAGGTCTCAGTGCAGCTGCACAGACCTACCCTTTCATTCTTTCTTACATTTTGTGACCTTTCTCAATAATTTCAGAAAGAGACCTGTGGTTTCTGATTGGCATCCATCAGTGAGTGCATATTGGTTTTGGTTGTATTCTCTATGAGGAACATTGAGTTTCTGGTTCTGCCACTGCTACAATGGATGCCAAGTACATTACAAACATGGTTCGGATTGAAATGAGAGAATAAAGGCCGAATTTTAGTTCTGTCAACACAGAGTCAAAAATAAATTGAAAATGTGTGACAACCAATAACCAGTGAAAATATTGATGACCCCCAGACACCACTGACAAGAACTCAAGCTGCTCTGTGGAAACTCAGTGTGGTCTATGGAAAACCTCCAGGAATGAGCGATCTCTAAATTAGATGGTAGCATTTCATCATGACCCTCAAACAAAATCAAACAATGGCTTCTTGTGGTTATTCTCTTTTCTGCTGGAGGGTAGTTACAGATTGATCTGGAAGTCCTGTGAAAAACCTTCTACAGTTTTCTGTATCAACATTATCATCAGTTTAGACAACTTATGATCTTTGGTAAAGAAAACTCCTGGTAAAGACCTCCCTCCACCAATGCAGAATGGCCCCTACTCTGCAACTTGTTACAATTGCCTGCCAGCACAAGTGACTTGCTCAGGGCCACACAACCTGTGTATGTCAGTGGGTATCTGGGGCTCTACGTGAACCCAAGGCTTCTTGACCCCAAATTTGGCTCTTTCTCCACCACTCTACCCTTCTACTCTTGTTTTTCTGCCTCATTTGTCTAAAAAAAATAAGAAGTTAGGCTATACTCAAAGAAGCCTGTTAAGGAGCTTTTTCAGAAGTACATATTAAGGAGTTCATTTTACATGATTACTAAATAGGGCTTTCCTTGAGGCAAAGTCCAGAATAAAACCACATGCTATGCTAAATCAAAATTCTTTGGCAAACATATTCACATGGATATCATTTGTCCTGTGCCTTAGTCATTTCTACTCGCCATAATTGTGATTACACTTTCTTCCATCCTCTGAATGTGTTACTTAACATTGTTACTGTTTCCATGGTTTTTTTCCCCCTGCACTATTTGTGTGTCTTTTGACAGGAAAAAGCATCTACAAGGAGCTTCTACTTGTGGTCCATGTTTAAAACCCTGATCAGGAGACCTACAATATTTCCTTTAAAAAAAAGAAAGAAAGAAAGAAATCTGTTATTTAATCACATCTAGGTTATTCCATCTCACTAGCAGGTGAAAGGAAATGATGGAGTTTTAAAGTGAGTGTACCCTGATCCACAGGATTTAAGATCTGATTCCTTCTAACAGGTATCCTATTCTGAATATGATTTTGTATTCCATAATTACACTACCTTTCCTCAGACTGCAGTACTAAGACGTGTGTATTAAATGCTTCCTCTTATTTTTATATTTTAAAAGCACTGTGTCCTTGTTAAAGAAGATTAAAGAGGGATTAGTAATTTCATAAGTACAAAATGGGTGCTTGGTTGGCTGGCTTATTTTCTTTCTTATTGTAAAGGTGAGAATTATTTCTTAGAGTTTTCACTAATGAAAATTTAAGTAATTCTCAAACAGAAGCAAACTCTGTGTGTGTGTGTGTGTGTGTGTGTGTGTGTGTGTGTGTGTGTGTTTTAAATGAACTATTTTCAGAAAAAGCAGTCATTAAGTTTAGGGCTTTTGGGCTCCCTATTTGGACCAGGTGCGTGCTAATCAGTTCTCCCAAAAGCAATTTCTGCTGTTCCTCAAGCTTCCTGGCAGGATCTAAATGAACTGAAGCTCAACTGAAGCAACAGAAATGTAGTTTTTATTTGTTCAGCCTTTCCTCAGTACACAAGCCTATTTTTGCCCAAATGAGAATCTTCACTATGTTACAAATGGGCACCAACCATGTTGCTTCCTGAAATTTCAGTTGTGCTACTTTGGTAAATGGGTGAAAATTCTTACCTGAATAGAACTGACCAAAGGGTACCTAAACTTTGGCTATTGCTTTGAGTTGGATTATTTGTTCTGAGAAGATGCCTAGAATGAATGATGGAAATCTTTCCCCATTTTACCCCTGCCCCACTCTGTTTTCCCAATTTTTTTTTGTCTGAGGACTAGAAGAAGCAAATAGAACATTTCCTACTCTTATTGCCCAACTTCTTTCTAATAACTGACAGAAAAAAAAGAGTAGCAAGATGGAGGAAGGAAGAAGAAAGGAGAAATAATGTCTGAGATATATAATGTTTGCTTTCTTTCCTCTATTTCCTTTTTTTCCTTTTCTTTTTCATTCTACCCTTGTCTTCTTACCCTTTGAGATCTCCTAGCCTTCTAACCAATACTTTCCATATTTTGCTGTCCAATCAAAAGTAGTCTAGGCCAGTGGTCTAGCCTGTATTGAATTGTTTGTACATCTTGGGGAATCCCATCAATTTTTTTGCTGCTATTTTCTGGTCTGTTTCATCATTCTGTACCAAGCTGGCATACTGTAGTTTCCTTTAGGCTCCCTCACAAAAGTTTTCTGTCTATTCATAGAATCTGATTTAAAGCTGGAAGGGACTTTAGAGGATATCAAGTCTATTTTAGGACCTGAAAGACAGAGGCCACTCTCTCATTTTACAGAAGAGGAAACTGAGGCCCAAAGATGTCACTGGACTTCTTTACCACACAGGTAGTAAGTGTTCAGAAGTGGGATTTAAACTCAGGTCCTCTGACTCTAGTGACACTGTGGGTTCTATTACACCATGTTGCTTTTCTGTATTACTGATTCTCATGCATTCTCATGGGTCCTACCTGCCCTATTATTCTCACTGTGAATAGAAAACATAGTGGTATGTTAGTACAAGTTTGGGAGCATATTTCTTAGGTTACATTGGGTAAAACTGTTCTAAGCAGCAAAAAAAGGTCTACCTTTTGCTTCTGCTTATGAAGATATCAGTCTATTAAAGTCTTACACATAACTCTCATCTTGATGTAGAAATAAAAAAAATCTAGATTTTGCATTTTAAAAGGCCAATGGAACATAAGTTCTGGTAGGTCTTCTCAAGCTGAAAAGCTTTAAGTATGAGCCCAGTAACAAGATCTCTTTGTTAACCAAAGAACTAGCTAACTCTAGAGAGGCTCATTACCTACAGTTTGGTAGAGCAATTCATGACATTATCTATGAAGGATTGAAGGGGTTGCTATTTGCATGGGTAGAGGGACTGCCCAAAATGATGAAATCAGATTTTTTAAAAAATACTGAAGTATGAAGATATTAATTATCTGATAGATGGCTCCTCTACTCCATTTTAGGATTTAGAGTGGACAGGCTGATTGATAGAATTCAGATTCTGTTAGATTAAAAGTTTTAAACAGCATTAC